ATTTGCCTTCCTGGGTCTGGGTTACCTCACTCAGGATGGTTTTTTCTAGTTCTGTCCATTTGCCTGCAAATTTAGGATGTCATTGTTTCTTACCGCCAAGTAGTACTCCATTGTGTAAATATACCACATTTTCTTATCCATTCTTCAGTTGAAATCATCTAGGTTGTTTCCAAGATCTGATTATCACAAATAATGTTGCTATGAACAGAGCTGAGTAAATGTCCTTGTGGTGTGAATGTGCCTCCTTTGGGTATGTGCCCAACAGTGGTATTGCAGGGTCTTGAGGTAGATTGATTCCTAGTTTTCTGAGAAATCACCATACTGATTTACACAGCAGCTGTACAAGTTTGCACTCCCACCAGCAGTGGAGGAGTGTTCCCTTCTCCACATCATCTCCAGCATAAGGTGTCATCAGTATTTTTGATCTTAGCCATTCTGATTGGTGTAAGATGGAATCTCAGAGTGATTTTGATTCAAATTTCCCTAATGACTAAGGATATTGAGCATTTCCTTAAGTGTGTTTACACCATTTAAGATTGCTCTGTTGAAAATTCTGTTTAGATATGTACCCCATTTTAATTGGATTACTTGATAGTTTGATGTCTAGTTTCTTGAGTTCTTTACATATTTTGGAGATAGCCCTCTGTCAATCCACAACCCCAGAGAAACTAGAACCCTCTTCCAGAAACAGATGCAGAAATCCACAACTAACCAATGGGCCAAACTCCTAAAGTACAATTGAAGTGAGGGAGGAGCAATAACATGAACAAAGGAGTCAAGACCATGATGGGGAAACCACAGAATCAGCTGACCTGAGCTAGTGAGAGATCACTGACTCCAGTTTGACAAACGAGTAACCTGCATAAGACTGAACTAGACTCTCTTAATATAGGTGACAATGGTGCATCTGGGACAATATATGAGGCCACTGTCAGTGGGTTCAAGTTCTAACTCTAATGCACAAACTGACTTAGTGGAGTCCATTCTATATGGAGAGATACCTTGCTCAGCCTAGATACAGGGGTGTGTGGGGTGGAGAGGTGAGTTGGTCCTGCCTCAACAAGATGATGGGACAGACTTAGTAGACTTCCTAGGAGAGGCCTTACCCTCTCTGAGGAGTTGGGGTGGGGGGAAGGAGGGAGAAGTGGGAAAAGCAGGAGGAGAGGTGGGAGGGGGGATTGGGACTGGAATGTAAAAAAAAAAAACTTAAAAAATACTTTAAAAACATTAGATGCATTAAGGGAGGAGTATGCACAGTGAGCAAAGGCTTCTGTAACCTAAGCCTGTCTATCAAGAGAGAAGCACACGAATTACACCTTAGCAACCTGGCCTTTCATTTTTAGATCCTATAAAAAGAAGCCCTGAGCTTCTTTACAGCTTCAGGGAAAGAGAGAGATAACTGAGAATATTGAGTAAGATGCCAAGAACTTGGAAAGACTTGAACCAGCCCTAGCTACTGACATCAAATTCTATAATATGCCTATAATCTACTGTTTACATTCTTATTTTTAAGTTTTTTCTCTACTTTCACCTATTTTTTTCTTGTCTATGAAAACCCTTGAGGTGGATGCACTGTCTTCAATTTTCATCCTTTCTATTTTTCTAGAAGCATTTACAGGCAGAGTAACTTCAATGAGTGCTGCCACAGCTTCATCCAGATTGCTCTACAAAACTACATACTGGAATCCAAGCAATTATAAAAATCAAGTCTTAATCTATAATCAGAACCAAGAAACACCCTTTAAAAAATGAGTCACTTCTACCCTTGGTGAAAACTGGATGGGATGGGGTGAGTTTGGGTGAAATGGTGGTTTCTTATAAAATAAAGCATATTTTTAGTCTTATAACCACTTACTCTCACCCAGTAGCATCTTATGTAATTACAAAGTGAGTTAAAAGTCACAAATCTATGAGTTACAAGTTACCTGTAATTTAAATATGGAAGCATTGTTTCATGAACACAAATGACGCACATAGGAGCGGGGACAAAGTGACAGCCCAAGCATCCACAGGAAGGCTTGCAACAGTTTCTGCCGTGTTTTTATTTTCTCACTTAACATCACAAACAAAAGGACAGCACATCTCACACTATTGCTTTTACTTGAAACTCAAAGGTTTGATGCAAGATAGACAAAAATTTAAGTTACCAACCAGTACTTTCCCTCTAGGGAGCAAGACTGCTTACATATTTGTAAGTAATTTAACAAAAACATAGAACCACCCTATCAAAGTTAATGTGGTTGTTGAGTCCAACCTATGCTACATTTAAAACTTTTTTCCTCAACAAAAACTGGAGGTGGAGCCAGGCGTTGGTGGCGCACGCCTTTAATCCCAGCACTCAAGAGGCAGAGGCAGGCAGATCTCTGTGAGTTCGAGGCCAGCCTGGTCTACAGAACGAGTGCCAGGATAGGCTCCAAAACTACACAGAGAAACCCTCATCTCGAAAAACAAAAAACAAAACAAAACAAAACAAAAAAACTGGAGGTGAAAAAAAACAAAAACACAAGACATGATATTTCTCAGAGTACTAACCAGTTCACTCATCTTCATCGAAACACTGCTTGTGTGGAGAGACTCCTAAAGATGACCGCGACACAAAGCCTCCCCAGCCAAGAGATTCTCATGGATTAGAACAGACCATCTCTCCTGAGGGCTCAGCTGCTGGTCCTCAGTCATGATCACAAGAATCAACATTATCACACTCCCAGGAAAACCTCCCTCTTGGATGCCACAATACCCTTTCTGCAGCAGAAATGAGCAGGTGCTGTTCACACCCAAGTCATATTTTTTTCCTTTGAGCCAAACTTTTAATCAAAATCTCTTTCACTGAATATTCCTAATGAACAGAACAATATAAATGATGATCAACACTGAAGGAATAAAAATGAGTGCATACATTTTCATAGAGAAATACATACAAATCCAAGTAGTTCCTAAAACAGAAAGAAAGAAAAAAAAATAAATACAAAACAGGATAGGGATTTTTAAGATTCTGATGTTGAACTATAAATGGTGCCAACTGAAATTCCTTTTTATATCTAGTTGTACTGTTGAAATTCCTTTTTATACCTAGTTGTACTGTTGAAATTCCTTTTTATATCTAGTTGTACTGTTGAAATTCATTTTTATATCTAGTTGTATCGTGGGAATTCATTTTTATAGTCAGTTGCATTGTTGAAATTCATTTTTATACCCAGTTGCAATGTTACATTTATTTACAAAGAGGCTGGCCTAGGTTCAGTGATTGCCCCACTGTCTCCCATCTTTAAAAAGATTGTCTTTCAAAGCATTTGAACTGGAAATGTTGTAGTTATATTTTTTGCTACTCTTGTCACTGGTAAAATCTCTTTAACCTCGTACATACAAAAATTCATCTCCACATTGATTCATTCATACTAAAACTAACATAATTTCCCTGCTACTTCAATGTCATGACTATTGATTGCTACATTGACATTTTTCTAGTTCTAGACACAGGTGTACATCTACAGGTGGATTTTAAAACTACATGAAATTCTGGCATCTTTGAAAGTAAAGGATACAGACTGTGCAGTTCCTTTTCTGCATATGCCTCCTAGCCCATCAGCCAGAGGGTTGTTTCATAATGCAGTCTAATGTGCAACTAGTGACGGTCAAATTCTGGAACTATGAAGCTGTCATTGGCTTATAGATCTATAAAATTATCTGAAATGGTTAATGATAATTTAATAAAAAAACAATACTTGTAACATACAAAGGAGAATTTAAAGGCTGTGACAAAATGTTCTTAACATCACTAGAGGTTTTCTACTGGGAAATGCTTAACTACTTAAAGATTTCCTCTTTCACACTTCAAATACTCTTTTTATTAATAAGCTGATAAAGAGCTAAATCAGCTCAAGATCAAAGCTGTTGAAAAATTAAAATACAGTGGTAAGTATTTCTAATGCAAAAGTTAAAGACTTACACAGCTGCTTCCCATGGAAAAGTTAACACTACAATACGATGAACAAGAGTGGTGGGCATGTGCCCCTTGTTATGGTTTTGCTATACAATAATCATACAATCTGGATGACAAAAGGTGTCTCAAAAGTGCAATGAATATATTTCCAGGGTTGAGAAAGTCCCCTATAAGAAACTAATTGTTAAGTTCCTGTAATACTGAAAAGACAATTCCTTTCTAGTATTATAGAACAAACCTACTTTTAAAAAAGTTTCCTCTTCCTTAAGAAGAAACGATTCTAACCCATGCCAGTGATGCACATGCTATGTACCACTGCAGCTGTGGCTTTCCTATGGGACATCTGTACCATTCTCGTTAGCCAGCGTGAAGACAGAGGCTTGTCAAAAGACACCAACAAATTGTTGGAAAGTACCAAATCTTCCTCTATCACATAAATATCTGATATTTAAATATCTGATATTAAAAGGTGTGCAAAATATCACTGTGTTTTAGATTAACTTACGATACTGTGAACTGGTTTCCATAGGACTTACAAGCGCTTCACAACCCAATCATCTTTCCTATCTTTAGACTCTTTTAATTTCACTCTGAGAACAAATCTCTAAAACATGCCAAGAGAAAACCATCCCATCAGAATCTCATCACATATAATCCTTGACAGTATTTGCTGCCCTCCTGAGATTTGGGGGAATAAAGCTACACAAATGCACAGTCATGGTCCAGGCTATAGCACCCAACAGCCTGTTAGGCAGGTCCCTACATCATTACCCAGAAACATCAGAGCTAAATCAGAGACAAGCAAAAGTGAACAGCAGGCCAAACACGCCAATGTTGGAGAACAGAGATTTCAAGGAAACTCTAAGTTTTCTTCCCATATAAGTTTCAAAGACAGTTTTATCTTAAAAGAAACCATGTTTCTCAAGCTAGGATTTTCTTAGTGGATGCATCACCTTTCTAACACAGAGGCAGGGGGCCTCCCAGGGGAGCTCCAAGGAAGGTTCTTTACATAACTGATAAAAGCAAATACTGACCGAGAGTGAAAGCCTAGAAACCCTGAAACAAGACCTTCAAAGTGTATTTATAAATAAAAATCAGTCATACACATTGCCATTCTTTCATTTTCTGTTATGTTCAGTCATCAGAGATATCATAAAGGAAGCCATGATTCTTCACCCTCTCTGATAGAGCCACACTGCCCCTGCTTTATGGTAAGGACACCCTGACAAGTGCCAGAGACAGAGAGAAAGCCTTAGCACTCACCTGGTGCCCATCTGCCTAGAAATAAAAAGAGACAAAGCACATTCAAAAGCCATTTCCAGACTGAACAATAATCTTGGAGAATTTTGAAATTTTGAAAATGACACCAGCTTGAGAGCTACAACACATAAAAATGAGATTCGTGCACATTTTAATCAACTGGCTAAATATAAATATACCTGATTCATACTTTTAAACTAACAGGCTAAGTCCCAAGTTCCAAACTGGAGTTCACGTGACTGCTGAAGGGCTCTTTGGAAGGGTGTGGAACTTGTGGAGAACAGTGTACAAACAACTGTAAACATACACTGATTGTCCACTAGCTTTCTTAAATAGAGTTCTGAAGTATTTGTAGGAAATTATATATTGTAGTCGATCAGATAATTTCTATAACATACAAATTCTGTTGTGTGTGCAAAACGTGGTAGAAAGAGAAGATGCTCTAATGTTTTATGTTTTCAAAGTGAGCACAGCATTGTAGTCCAGTAAGAGCCCTTTAATCTTCTCATGAAACTTCTCTCTATACAAGTTGAAGTACATGATGCTTTCTGGTTCTTCTTCAAGCCAAAACTTGTCAAATTCATAGACCAGGTAACCTGCAATTAAAAACAACACAAACACATTGTCCACGGCAATAAAATCCTATTTAGACCATCTCATCTTCAGAAAGTATACATCCACCTTGGGCCAGGGAGATGGCTCAGTGGGTAGGGCTGTTTGGCTTGCAAGCCTGGCATCCTGAGTTCAAATATAGAAAATGAAGTACAAAGTGCTTTAGGAGGTCCATCTCCCATTGTGTTCCTGGATTTCAAGGACTTTAAACAGTAAAAGGATAAGCACAGATTCTGTACTTCCCAGGATTTCCGTTAAAAACTGTACACTCTGCTTTGTTGAGAGTTATGATACTCTTGGTCAGGTCTGGTGTGACTCCTTCTAATACTCACAATAAAACTGGTGAAAGTGTTCCATTGTTGGTATCCCAGGAACAAAGTTGTAGAGGTGAAGCTTCAGGGCTTCGCTCTTCAGTAAGCTATAAGCCATCTCTGTAAGATTGATTCCAACTATTGCATAAGAATACCTACGCCAGAAACATCACCAGTTATACAGCTAGCAGACAGCTCCCAAGCTTATGCAAGTGCATAAATAACTTACTAATTTAATCAAACTGTTTTGCTGCTCCCCTAAACACAGGACACGCTTTTTGATAATCTCTCTATAGTCAGAAAGATCCAAGGTGTCTTTTTTTTGAAGACTGTTAATTTACTGGATAGAAGCTAAGTAGTAAAAATAAAAGTTCGGACTATATGACATCTAAAAACAATAAAGAGAGGGAAACCTACATTTACCAAGCTTTATTATTCTAATTATTATGCATAAAGCAATAGATAGCTAATAACAAGGCCTCAATTTGTATTTCATTTACCATTTTCAAAGCTAACTCTGATTTTCCTATTCATTTAGTTTCTACTCCTACTTTGAAATAGTTTTTGAAAAAATTATGAGCCCCTGTATTTGTTTTATAAGCTATATCATATGATAAAATTATGGGAATACATAGAACATTTATGTTGACTTTTCTTGAAAATAGTTTGTAATATCATTTCTACTGTTATCACTCATTAAAATAACATCATTTTAAGATGCATTTTGAAATACCTTCAGATTTACATACTCATTTTCATTGCAAGAGTCTAGCTTTTTACTGTTTTCCCAGCTTACCCTAATTTGGGGTGATTTGAACGGGAAAGAATCTGATGAGCTTCACTGGTGTAATTCTCACTGAAATACCTAAACAAGTCAAGGAAAATGATGAAATAAAAATGTTCCACTCCCAAGTAGCATATTAAAAGTTCAGTGTAAGCAACTGCCACTGTCAAAGCAACAGCCCTCAATCCCACAGCCACTCCATCTCCCTCCAGAGCCACCTCGGTGACTCACAAAGCTTTCTGGGTCCAACTTTAACCCTAAGGCATCAGGCCTCTCAATAAGGAACACAGGCAGACTGGCACTTCACAAGACTACTTTAACAGAGAGCTCACCTACACCAAGATTTCCTATTTACTTACAAAGGAAGAAAAATCCTGAGTCCTTGTTTTGAAACCTGCTAACTCTCATCCTGTACAGCACTCAGAGGGCCCCTGAGGGGCCACCCTTCACTGTCTTCTCTCTGCCACAGCAGGAGTGAGTGTTTCTAACCCACTGCTGATGAGCAGACATTACAGATGTATGTGAGTCCTGGCCATCCGTCTTCACATCAGCTGATGCCTTAACTCCAGCGGAGACAACTGTGCTTCATTTACAGGCCTATCCAGACCCCACAACACAGTCTAGAGTCAGACAGTTAAACTACGAAAGTCCCTCTTCTGACAGAGGAGGGGAAGTTGCTCACATTCCTTAAAGACCCTTAGGAAGCAGAATTATATAGAACTTTTAAGATTTTAGACATTACCAAAATATACATGCTTTTACAATTTAAAAAAAAACGTATATCGTACTGTAAATATCCGATATGTGTCCCACACACACAGGGGTCGTGACCCATGTGTCCAGTTTACTTACTAGAATAGTGCTGGCTATCAGTTGTGACTTACAGTGCATATTTTGGGACTTCATGCACATGGCCTAAGTACTAAGGAAAAGGCAAGTTGTCATAGCCATAAGAGGGGGCTCAGGTCAACATCCAGAGGTAGTAAAGAGCATGTCACCTAACCTGCTTCTGTTTTCTGTAAAGGAATCAGAGCCACACAGTGGGAAGAAGAGGGCAGAAACAACACAGTGCTCCTAATTCTTAAGCAGGTGTCAGAAGTGAGGCTGGAAAGAGAAGGGCGGAGGCACGCACTATGAACCCTGGGGAGTAATCACAGATGTGAGCACAGATGGAAGCATGCATGTGCACACGTGCACACACACTATGTCTTCTAATTGTTGCCAGCACCCTAACAAACATGTGCCCTACAGTTAACAAAAACTTACAGTCAATATGAAACAACATGTCAACTCTCATGAGAATTAAGAGAGACTGGAAATAACATGGAATTTCACTCAGCCAAGAAAAAGAAACTTATTTCACTTACACAAGATTGATTAGTCCGAGTATGCCCATGCCTCTGAAGTCTGTTTTGGGATCATCACCTTGGAAACCAATGTCTGCCCATTGCTTGGAGATCCGGGCCTTCAACTTTTTCGTAGGCATCAGAAGATTCCAAAGCTGCACAAACATGCTTTTGTGTTACAAATAATAGTGATGTTCTGAGTTTATTGGGACATTTTCCTTTTCTTAGCTTATGGAACTCTTAATTGAATACTTTCAGTTCAACAACTTTTAGACAAATTCTAAGACCTACAAGGACTGTATTTAAAACATGGAGTATCTATTCCAACCAGAAAGACTATTGTAAAGAATCCTTTTTTTTTTAAAGCAAAAAGCCAAAGAAATCTTTTTTAAAGAAAGAAAAACACAGAAATCTGCATTTACTAATATATAATATATATGCTAGAATTAAATTGCTTAAGAAGAGCAGTCTTGTATAAATGGACCCATAATTTGGTTTGAATAGGTTCTGCTGTAACATTTGGTGATTAGTCTTTAATCAAAGAAGATAAAATAGATCTGAGGGAGGGAACCATGAAAAAATAATATTAATAAAACTCAAGAGATATGTGTATGTGAGTGAGACTATTTCATAAAATTTAATTTTTAAAAGAAAAAGATGATTTGGTTTTTAAATAAATATAATCTTTAATACTAAGTTGTTACCAAGAGTTTTGACTAACAATCTTTCCCTTTGTTAGATATGAACAAACCAGTCAATGAAAAATAACTAAGAAAATTTAGTCCATTTCAAGAGCCAAAGTAAGTTATCAGACAAAACAGACTTGTAGACATTGATTAAAAACTGAAAAGCTTTGCAAAACAGTAATGTTTATACCCGCCCCGCCCCTCCATTTCATTGCCATGTGAGACACTGTTGAGTGATGGAAAGTATCCTGTCACCTAATAAACACCCAAGACTTCTAGAATTCTGGCCCTGAAGCTAACTCCAATTATAGGCTGGACTTTAACTCTCCCACTCTCTTACTAGCAACCCATACAACTTGTTGACATCGACAACGTGTGTGACCATAGCAATGAGGCTTTTGATGTGTGGGCTGCAATGTAAAACTACTAACTGCTCAATTTTTACTTATTTGTTTGTTTATGGAGATGGCATCTTATTATATAGCCTAGGATGATCTTGAATCTCCATCTTCCTGCCTCACTCTCCAAAATTCTGTAATTATAGGTACATGTCATCATATTCAGCTTTTAATGCTCAAATTTAGTAACCATAAGTACCACTATGGGCTGCAGCCTGGAGATGCTGATTTCATATGGTTAAGGTGGAAGTCTGTATCCCAAATGTAGACACTGACAAAAGCTGGTGAACACTTCTTTGGATTCTACTGAAACTACTTCAATTCTGCAGTTCTCTTCCCAGCAGGACTGCTGAGCTAAAGTCAGTCACTCTACCTCCAGAGCTGAAGTGCATAATGAACAGGCAAGGGGAAAGCTGCCTGGACTAGGGCACTAGGACATGCGTCTAACCCTGCAGGAAGGCAGGGTTACACAGACGGTGCCTGAAATTAAGGGGAATGAAGATGACAAGCAGTCATTTAGCATGCTTTTAATCACTTCAAATATAAGCTCAACCCACACAATAACTCTTTATTAACCTCAAAATCAAGTTTTGTTTTAATTTTACAATTAGGTAAAGTGTTAATTTACATTTTTTCTGAAAAAGGTTCTGCTGTTTGTTTAAATTTATTTTCCTTTTATGTTTATGGATGTGTTTATATGCACCATGTGTGTGCCTCATGCTTTCTAAGGCCAGAAGAGGGTGTCAGATCCCCTGGAACTGGAATTAAGGATAGTTGTGATCCACCATGTGGGCGCTGGGAACTAAACCCAGGTCCTCTGCAATGGCAGTAAGAACTCATCAGGGCTGAGCCCCCTCTCCAGCCCTACTTTTGCTGTGTTTAGGCAGCTGATCTCACTTAGATGTCCCCAATGTTCCTTTCCATAGGGCTTTGGTTCTGTCAAGTCCTAACTCCAAGTGCAATATAAGCCAATGGAATTAATGCATGGGCGATGAAGTGGAAGGGGAGACTGGGAAGGAAGGTTTTAAACAGGATAGGGAACAGAGAGGAGGGCAAGTAGGGAGAGCCAATCAAAACTAAGCACACCACATGAAATGTCAGACAATCTCTACGTTAATGAAAATAGGGAGGGGGGTAAGTGGAGAGGATAAGGAAGAAAAGGCAGAGGGAGAGAGAAAGAAAAAGGGAAGGAAAGAACAGAAATATAAAAGAGAGGAAGGAAGGAAGGACGGACAGACTTTTGAAAACCACCCCTGTAGCCCTCCTGAGTGCAGTGTGGACTGGAGCAGAAGATAGGCAGGAAGCAGCTCCAGGATCAAGAGCTTTAGCACCAGAAGAAGATCAGCCCATCCTGGGGACCTTGGAATCCTCTTCCTCACATGAAGAAGGGTCAGACTGAATGGTCGACAGCATTTTCTCTAGGCGTCAGCCTTTACAGGGCAGTGCCACCACCTCACACACTTACACACCAGAAGCAGGTGACAGGAAGCTTTCTCCCTTCTTACAACTCGAGTCTACTAGGGCAGTATTTAGTGACTGATGCTGTCCTGGTCCTAGAAGTCCCACAATGCTGTGCAAAATGGATATCTACTTTCACAGCTTCTGTGCTGCTGAGAGAAAGCTCAGCCTCCACAGGAAATTAGATAAACAGAGGCTCTGGGGCTCAGGCACCCCTGCCTTGAAGTAGAAGAGACCCCCTTTTATGAATGGATAACTTATCTCAGAAGCATTATTACTTGAGTAGATTCTAAAAGATGCTTATCAAGTAAGAGTTCTTGACCAACAATCTTTCCCTGCCAATGAAATCTAACACATTCTCCAGGAGGCAGGCAAATGGGTGGACCACATGAACCTCCAGAATCCACACAGCTCTCACAGCTGAAGCTGACTCCCTGAATCCTGAACCAGCTCTTACCTTGAGAAGCAGTTTCTCGTGCTGCACATTGCCAGAGTCATAGGGTTTTTTCCTCACATTTTCTACATCGTGGTAGAGCTGCTTATAGCCAGTTATCTGCAGTAAGCACGTCCTCATACAGATCTGAAAACTGAAAGGATAAAATATCAGTTTATATCAGACCTCTCATCACAATAAAGCAAAACCTGTGCTTCATACATCCATCCAAAGGGTGTTTCCTGGATTTTAACTAACACAAGATGCACCAAAGGCCATGCAGAGCATCACCCGGGGCTGTGCCCCACAGAGCATCGCACGGACTGTGGTAAAATGGGGCCTCAAAAGCATGTTACGTGTAACTGGCTCCATTACTCACTCACACATTTTCTCTGAGCAGTCCACACACCCGCTAATCTTTACTGCCACACAGCAGTGTGACTCCTGAAATGTGTACAAAACAATCCATCACAAGTTATGTTTCCCCAAATGCAGTAGCTTACTTTCCCTAGAGCAACATGATTTTTACAGTGACTCTACTCTAGTAACAGCACACTTACCTTTAGCTCCCAAGACAGAATACATCAAGTTTCAATCCATCAACATTCAGAAGACCCTCAAGCCTCATGCTGTCCTGTAATGCCCCAGACCAATCCATAAAGCACCAATTCCCTGCGTGGCTTATGGCTTTGACGCCTCTTACCACAAGGGCTCATTTCCCAACTACTGTCATATTCCCAAAGCTGCCATCACCTCCCTTATATATGTATCTACTGATGTCACTTATTACTACAGAGAAGGCATCTAGTCCTTTGATGTACCATTGCCCTTCCGTGTGCCTATCACCTATCTAGCTGGCTACTTGGTGACTCTTGTAGAACAGGACTACATTGTCCATAGAAGGCCACAGTGCAGCCTGCTCACAAAGGATAGAGAGCAGTGTGAGGGCTCAGCAGAACCAATGTCACACACTGGAGGGCTTGAGGAGGACCTGGCTTGAAGCGGACACAAAAACCAAAATTTGAAGGGCAGGAAGGACAGTGACCAAAGTTATTTAACCTCAAGAGACTAACAGAATAATGGGGATGAGTGGGAGGACCAGGTTCAGTCCTTCTGTGCGGTTACCAGCATTCGGGACCTCAGTGCTCACAGGGTGAGAGGAGGGGCCACATCACCCACAAGCCTCCCCCACTACAATCCACCTGAGCAGGGCTCTGCACAGCAGGCTGCAGAGCATGACGCAGTTGCAGAGGGAGCAGCGCACCTGGTGTCCTTCTCAGGACAGATGTTCTTTGCCTTCATTATGTCCGCTACACATCTGTCCAGTTCACTCTCGGAAACTTGTGTTGCATTCTGGAGGACCTAGTTATTGAGATGCAGCTGAATGAGAAGTCTCCCAGAGATGACATAGAAGTTGAGACATTTAATCAACTTTACCAAGAAGATATTAAAATGCAAAAAGAAACCACATTTTCTTCAGATCTCCCCGAGAGCTGGAATCATGTATATATTTGTGGTTGTCTAAAAGCCTCCTAACCACACAGTGGGTGAAAAATAAAGAAGTCATGAAAGTGGGATGTGGCTGCTTGGGAAGCCCAGCATGCCCAAGAGGTAGAGAGACAGTGCAGAAAAATATGGTCACTGCATAGTTATGAAACTTTCAAAAAAGATGGAAGGGAAGTGAGGAAGGAGAGGAGAGGAGAGAGGGGGAACTGGGATTGGAATGTAAGAAGTAAATGAAATTTACAATTAACTTTAAAAAGAGGAGCGGCAACAGTCTCTAAGAGCTGTCTCCCCATCCCCACCCTGCCCTCCTTCCCACACCCAGTTCTCCAGTGCCCCTTCTGGAAGCTTCTCTTCCCACAATGCACTGTGTCAACACATTAAAAAGGTGACCACTCTATGTGGTCTGCTTCTGGTCCATCTGATAACTTCCTCTATTTGTCTAGGAAACCCTGTTGAGTATGTCCTTTAATTAGGCTCTCTTGGAGGACTATCTGAGCTATACCAGCCTCTCCCTCTATTTCTGCGTAAGTCTGCAGATGAGCCTGTCAGTGTCTTCAAAACATACTCAGCAACATTCTGATTAAAATTAACATTTTAATAATAATGAGTCTTTTAATTGATGATTACCAGGCTTCATTTTTTTCTCAACAATATCTCCACAAGTTTCAGAGCTGAAGACAGGCTTTCATTAAACCCCCTGGTGTTTTACACTTCAGGCTTCTGTGGTAGGTGGCACTGCCCTTTCATGATCTTAAAAGTTCATTGTTAGCACAGACAGCAGAGAGCTACCTGATACCAGATTGTTCAGTTTGCTTATCAATACATAGCATCGGCCTCTGAGGACTCTGGGACTGTTGACATTCTCAGACGACATCTCTGTTATAGTTATTTCTGGCCAACTATGTCTTGGGACTTTTTCTTGCTGACTGTGGTTCCCAGGATTTCTAGTACAATGATACTGAATAGCAGCAGAGAAGCGAAACATATCTGTCATGCTTCAAACGAAACGTGGCAAACATTCATTATTGAAAGTTTTTCTGTTGTGCCAGCTGCAGATGGTCTGCTGGCCTATAGTGGATTAAGGGAGCTTTTGCTCTTGTAGTTGGGAGAGTTTTTAATAATGAGCAGATTTTCTGTATCTATCAAAATGATCATATTTTTCTGACTCTATTAATAAATTATACTCACTCTAAGGATTCAGGCATTATGCTGGCCTGCCTTGTCACTGGCAGAATGCACTCAGGCAGTACCCTGGTCAGCCTAGGGTTCCATGAGTACTAGTCTGCAAGCAGGGGCAAAGGACCCCTTCAAAAGAAAGACCCCCCCCCCCCGCCCACTTATGCTCTTTTTCCCTCTCTCTTTCCTGCTGTTCCCCTGGGGCAGACAGGACTTTTCCTGGATCCCTCTTCTTCTGTCCTCTCTCTGTCTCTGTGTCTCTTTATCTCTTTTCTCTTTCCTCCCCCCACTTCCCTTTCTAATAAAATTTCTCACTAAGCTCTGTCTACCTGGTATATTTGTCCCCAGCCTCAGTAACCCTCACCCGCCATGGAATCCCCCACACTTTATCATAACACTTATTTTAAGCTTCGATCATAATATAGTATCCTTTTTATCTGTTAGTAGTATTAATTTGCCAGTGTTTTGTAAGGATTCTTCTATCACATTTATAAAGAGCACTGAGTTGTACTTCTTATTTATATATCTTTATTTGGTTTTAGTCTGTTCTTCAAAATAAAAAATATAATAAAAAAAAAAGTTTCTTTCACCTCTGTATTCTAGGACTCTCTGTTAACAGTGGCACTGTTAACATGTAAAAATCAGTTAGGTCAGGTTGGAGAGCAGGCTCAATGGTTAAGTGCACTAGCTGCTCTTGCAGAGGACCTGCCTGGGCTTGGTTCCCAACACCCACATCAAGGCTCACAACCATCTGTAACTCCAGTTCCAGGGGATCTGATGCTCTCTTCTGACCACTGTGGGCCTCATGGATATACATGGTGCACATGCATGCATGCAGGCAAACACTCATAAAACAAGATACAAAGGCTCAAACATCTTCTAAGAGAGAATTAATGAGACCAATGCTGGAGAGTTTTGAAAACATTTTAAATTGAAGATTTCATTTCTTTTTTTGAATATATGGCCACCTAGACTTTTTGGTTTATTTTCATATTAGGTGACAGACTGTGCTTTCAATGAACTTTTCCACTGCATCTAAGCTACAGGATTTACCAGCAGGAAGTCTCTCACAGAATTTCAGAATCTAGGCTATGGTGACCACTTTCCTCCCTTTCTTCACACTGGGAATCTTGGCTTTCTCTCATACTTGATCAGAGGTTACTGACAGGAATCTTTTTAAAGAACTGGGTTCTGAGTTTGTTGATAGTATCTACTTTTGTCTGCTTCTCTATTTCATTCATTTTCTGCCTTATTTTATAAATCACAACTTACTCTGGACTTATTCTTCTCAGGTTTCTGAAGACACAAATATTGATAACTGGTTTAGGTCTCTAAAATTTGCTTTGGTAAGCTAAGCAAATGTTGATTGTGTTGTGATTTCAGTTCAATTTCTTTCTCTGTCTCCTACCAAATTGTTTGACCCATGGGATAGCTTATAGTCCAGATGAAATTTTCATATTTTAGCAGCCATTGGGTATAATTTATAAGCCATCCCTAGTCTATAACTGAGTGAGACTTAATTTTTAACCATCAAAGAAGTTTCAACTGTCAAGCAATTTACAACCCAACACAACCATACTTTGAGATCACTGTTGGGGCCAAGCCTTAATAGATTAAAATTGCTGTTATTCAAAGCAAGCATTGAAAATGCAAAGTATTTAAATATGTAAGAGGGTTTCTTGGGTACTTTAATTCTCTCAAATCCTTGTAGTGTCCACTGGCTTAATTACATCATCACAAATATTATCAACATGTAGCCTCTTACGCTGCCTTCGTATTAAGGTCTCTAGTCCTAAAACCATCATATGGTACTGACAAGGAACAAGCAAATTCCACAAAGTCAAACAAGTGGGAAGCAATAAAATCAGAATCTTTGTCCTGATTGTGTCTCATGTAATAAAATGCAGAGGCAGTCAATGGAAATACAAGGTCAGAGTTAGATTTTCCTCTTGGAGTAAATATAACGTGCAAAGCATGCACAAACGGCATGTGCAAGCTGACACGTCTGTCTCCATTTTTAACTTGCTTTTTATTTCAGGCTTCAAGGCAACAAAGCATCTATGATTTAACTGAGTCTTTGTTAGGACTGTTAGCTTTTCTCTTTATAGTGTGCTACAAAACATAACGATTTTACTTTACTTTTGTTTTGTTTTTGTTTTTTTGTTTTTTGTTTTTGAGACAGGGTTTCTCTGTGTAGCTCTAGCTGTCCTGGCACTCGCTCTGTAGACCAGGCTGGCCTGGTACTCACAGAGATCCGCCTGCCTCTGCCTCTGGAGTGCAAGGATTAAAAGTGTGCACTACTACCGCCCAGCAGTATTTTGCTTTTTTAATGGTAAGATCATAATACAACTTTAACATTTTCATCTCAAGTGAGATTTTTTTAATTAGTAAATAAAGTAAAAATTAGCATATTTTCTGTTTATTTAATAGTCTCCTATAGAGTCTCCTACATATCTGATTTACATTATAATTCATAACAGTAGCAAAAGGACAGTTATGAAGTAGCTATGAAATAGTTTTATGGCTGGGGTCCCCACAGCATGAGGAACTGTATGAAAGGGTCGAAGCATCAGGAAGATGAGAAGCCCTGCTCTGGGCCACGTCTGCCCCTTCCTTCTCTGTGCCACTCTTCTCTCCTATTTTACTTCTTTATCGATCACTGACGACCCTGGAAGATGCTGAAATGTAGTCATCAAATCTTTGTTAAGATTTCCCCGACATCTTATCTCCTATCCTACTTCCATTTATCTTAATTTTACACACATAAAATCTCATTAATGACATCAGAGACTGTAAGACGCCACTGCAGCTGACTCTCATCCCAGTGGCTCTGATGACTGGGTGCTGAGTTCAGATTCTGTACCTTCGCCACTAGTACTAGCAAAGGGAACAAATACTACATGCCCCATGTGGAGAAAGGAGAGCCTGCACTTCCAAACCATTCATTTCCATTTTGTTTATACTCGGAGTACTGTTACCTGCTAGGAGCTGGTGCAAGCTCTAGGGATACAGATGTAAATGACAAACACTATGCTTCATTTGGGGACAGGAGAAAATGGAGAAATAAAAAAGTAAAATACTGCACAATAAGGAAGGCAAAAGGACAGGGAGGTTAAAGGTTACAATTCCAAGCAGAGTGGTGACAGTGTTCACAAGGTCAAAACTGAACAAAACTGGAGATGATATGACTTAAGCTTTTAATGGGAGAATGAATACTCTGGCTCTCATGGCACACCTGCCAGATGGTGGTGCTTTGGTGTGGAGCAGCAGCACAGTGGTGATGACATGGGACAGGACAAGAGCCATGCTAGATGCAACAGTGAACAATGCAGGGGCGGGTGGCGCTCCAGGGGATAGTGCTGACAGTGTTGAAAGCAGGTGTCAAAGCATTAGAGAGGACATACTCAAGAGCTGGGGCCACAGGGTGTGGTATGAGGAACTGTTACACTTCTACAGTGTGGTTTCTGGGCCACAAGAAAGTACCTGTCATTCTCAAATACTCCCAGAATTAATTCACAAAGAAACACAACTTGCTTTGCACCCATTGGTCCATGTGGAATACACAGCTCCTTACAGAATGGGAGCAGTCAGGAAGCAGGGCTGTCCCTCCAAGAAGGGCCCTGACCTGCAGCACATAGTATCACTGGGGAAGCAACACATCAGAAACAGAATCAGGGTTTCTGGAGTGAGGCCCAGTGCCTACATTCCAACAAGCTTCCAGAGGGCTGGGGATGCTGTGTTTGAACCTGTTGTAACAGTTTTGAAATACAATGAGCCCACGTAGGTGTGTACATGTGTGTGTGCGTGCAAGTGTGTGTATGGTGTATGTAAATTAAACAAGAACTAGAGCAGAAACTTTCAAGCTCTCACATGCCACATTCTCATGGGGAAAAAAATCGCTTTAGGATTCTGAACAAAAGGCAACTATCCCCTCCCAGGTGTTTGTTCATCTATGTGGATGTGAGTTGTTCTTACAGTTAACTCACAAGTGAGATTGTACCTAAACTAGCAAGCACCACTTTAGCAGTAACTCTCCAGAAAGAAACATATCAGCTTGCAGAATCCAACACTCTCTGTTTCCAGCGTGAGTCAGCAACTCTTATCAACAATGGCAGACAGAGTCACGTCCATGTGTTTATTATGTTTCAGAGTTTTCATTATGGCCAAGTGTAAACATATATATGGCTATCTGTAACACAGATGTACACATAGATAACGGAACTAAAAATGTCATGAAATAATATTTAATTGTATTGTGAACAATCATTTCTAAGTATTTTCTATCCCTTTTGTCACCTATTAACACAGTTTCTAATAATGATCAACGTGACTTGAAAGTGTGTCTGCCACTACAGTAATTCTTATACAGAAAACACTGTGACCTAATAGTTAAATCTAGCTGTTAGTTCTTGGTTTTCCAATTAACACAGCATCAAAAGCTGTGGCTAACATGTGGTAGATGGCCATATTGGTCCATCTTATAGTTGACTTTCCATCAACTACAAGTCCATGCAACCACTTGCCTGCCTTAACTTGAGGGTGTGCTGATTGCTTTTGAGGACTCTTTGCTTTGCACTTGGCCACTCATTAAACCTGTGGATGCAAATGGAGATGACACAATCTGCTGGGCCGACACTGAGTTACTATGAGACCATTCTCTCTGTGCCTACAGAATCCCACACCTAGAGCCTACAGTAAGACATGTGGACATATGAGAACGTGACACCAACTTGGTAAAGGGCCTTTGCAGCTGACCCACATGCGCATGAGCATACAGTAACCCTGCTTTATGCTCCTGCAGCTTTGGGTTTGTTTCTTACACAGCAAAAGCTGACAGCTACATGGCATACACTGGGACTCACTTTAGATCCAAAGGTGAACATGCAATGTTTTCTCCACTCAAAATTGCTTTGCTCTTCCCTCACACAACCTACCCTGAGAGCACTGTCACAGGGAGGGCTTTTCCTAAGATACTGATCTCTAAAAGGTATAAATTGCTACTGCAAAATGAACAGGCAAAGCCATGGGATAAGATACAGTGCTGAAACACTTTTCTGTCCATCAGAACCCAGAGAGAAGTATTTTGAAGACAGAATTACTACTTCTAAAATGAGAAAATTTAACTCACAGTTTCTTATAGCTAAGATAACAAATATAATCCTGAAATCAAAGTGTTCTTTTTAAAGAAAAAACATGTTTAAGCTAAGTTTTTTAGAATTAGCATTTTAATGTGCCCTTACCTAAAAAAAAGAAAAAGTTACCATTTGTTAATGTGCCCTTACCTTACTCTTGGAATATGCCAATGAATTTTCTGAAATTAAAAAAAAAAAAGAAAAAGTTACCACTTGAATGTATTTTCTGAATTAGACCAAAATCAAATAGTAAAAATATAAAAGCAATAAGCCACTCTTGCAGTTTAAGATACAATTCCACATGGACAACAAAGCAATCATCTCAAAGTCAAAGAAGAAGCTGGAATGATCTCCCCACAAACAAAGTACCAAGCTGGTGTCAATTTCCCCAGAATGTTCTGTTTCTATTCAGACCACCAGAGTAAGGGTGTCTGCCAATATCTCTGATCTCAGAAATTCATCTGAAGACTGTTCTCCACTCCTCTCTCTTTCTCATCAGCCTTGGTGAATGGCCGGCAACTGAACAACATAGAACAAAGGAGCCGATCCTAGACTGTCTGTCCTCTCCCAAGCAAAGAGTAAACAGCCTCTGCATTCCTGGCTTTCGTTCCAAGAATGACAAGATCATTTGTGTTGTTGCTCTGTTAAAAAAAGGTTTCTGGTATACTGACAATGCTCTCCTTTTGAGGATTTTAAGAAAAATGCTTTTTGCCTCAAAATAAACCCTTGAATATATTCTTCCCACGTACTGTTAAGTGCCAAGGAGTACAGCCTGAATAGACCTGTGTCAAGGGGCACTTGGATCATCTGAAAAGACAAGAGGGAAAATCAAAGAATATACACTAAGCTTCAATCAGCCAGTGGCCAGGAAATGCTTCTGCCATTCTTCCAATGCCACCTGGGCACAGGGCCCACTGCCCATGCCTCACTCCTTGGCCCTAATGGTATTGATTCCTCATTTGAGATATTCTTGATCAATACAAAATAAGAACCAGTTAATTCTCAATTTTCCACTTAACACAACATCATGAGCGGTGGCTCTGCCTAGGTCTTTCTTACTACACCTAAAGTGATTTCAAACCAAAGTTCTCAACTATCTGATTTTCCAGTCAGAGCAGTATTTTCAATTAAACATTGAAAAACTATCATTTGGCAGAAATATAATGCAAGTCACACTAAGCCCCATGAATACCATAAAAATTTCCACAGCTCTATTAAATTAAAAAGAAATACATACAATTTGTATTACTATAACTTAGCAGATCTAAAATATTATCACTTCAATGTGTTATAAATACAATTATGACATCTTTACACTTTTTTCATACAGAGACTCCATGGGTACGGCACAATTCTTTAACACCACGCATGCTTCAAGTGTTCAGCAACCATGTGGCTACCACTATGGGGCTGGCCCAGGTAGGTTCTAATAATCTTCCCTAGGACAATAAGCAGTCTACCCATTCATAAATAAGAGTAAAAAGTGAGAAAACTGGCAAATGGGCCACAAAGTAGTAAGATATTGACTCTTCTAATCTTTTCGTCATATAGTTGTGTAAAAGTTTCAAACTGAAGAAAGAAGAATTTTCTAGTAAACAATTGCACATATAATCTGAAGAATAACTGATACTTTTGTTTGATTTTTGTTTTCAAGACAGGGTTTCTCTGTATGGCTGTGGCTGGAAATTGCTCTATAGGCCAGGCTGGCCTTGAACTCACAGAGATCCACCTGCCTCTGCCTCCCAAGAGTTGGGATTAAAGGGGGGCACCACCAACGCCAGACTGATACCTTTTTAAGAAACCCAAAAGATTCATTCATTGGGTAGGTATGTACAGATATAAGTGTTTTTTATATACATTATTCAATGTGCAATAGTCAATAGCACAGTGCAAAGGACTCAAAGACCACAAAGCTAAAGAACTCAGTTGCAATGACTTAATCAGAACACATTATCACTGGGTAGACAGAAAGTATTCAATTACTTTTTTATTAACGTTGAATTTTTCGGTTTTGAATAGCATTACCTATCCTGTACGTCCTCTGAGCACCTCCATAGGTGTCAAAAATTCGCTGCAATTCACACTTTCCAGTCATCTGTCGTAAGACCCATTTCATCCAAAATCGAAAAAAGTGCCCATAGAAGAACTCCCACAAAGAAATAAACATGTTCTCCTGGAGAAGGATGTAAGAACACAAGCTTAATGACCTCAAACTGTAATTTAAAAACTGAAAAACAAATTAAGTTGATCCAGCTCCCCAAAAATTACAATAAAATCTATTTTGTGACAGTGTTTAATCAGCCAGGCAAGGAAGCAATATACAGCATAGATTAAATACTGACCAACCAAAAGGTCAATTTATCTCTAGGCCAAATGGTCGCTTTTTTAAAAAAAATTTTATAAAGTAGGAAAAAAACTGGCCAAATTATTTAATGGCTTAAAAGAACAATAACCACCTTACATTTTTAACAAATAATATTTCATATTTTGGATTCCTACTTCCGTTTTTCATCCCTTAAAACTTGGAACTGAATAGTTCGACAATAAAAGGACCAACCGAGCGACAATTTCAAGTCAACCACACATGTGGTTTCCCCCGAGAATGAGCTAGCTCTTCTGAGCCCTGGCGCAGAGCGTGTCCCAGCTGTCTCAGTCAGCTGCCGCCAACAAATGAGAACCCTACAAGTGGCTTACAAACTGAAGCGTTCGGGTTGAAAACCAAGCAGATGGCGTCCTGGCGAACTCATGAGTTTTCCAGGTGAAGAGCAGGAACGCCGAAAAGTTAAGATTAAAAACAAAAAAATCCCGCAAAACCTACACACTGGGTAGGGTACAACTGGGTCTGAGAAGACAACTCTTGGGGTGGGTGCTAAGCGAAGGGGAGGCGGGGTGGCGGCCGGCCGGGGACGGCGAGGAAAACGCTGGCTCCTCGC